CGTCTGAAGACTACTGATGAGACATAGTGTTCAATTCACTTCACTAGCATAAAATGAGGAATATTCACAGGTCAGGTCGTATATTTTCTGATAATTTTGACACTCTGTCAGCTTCTGGGAACTCTTTTTCTTCGTATAGGCATCATCTTCACTGTTGGGCTTTACACATGGGGAAATATTTTGATAGATTTCTGTCAAGTACTTTTTGTAGACGGATTCAGAAAGATAGTAATTGAAAAAGGTTCTGGTGAATACCACTCAAATGTAGGACTACAAGAATCCAAGATGTTGGACAGGCACTAAGTTGAATCTAGCAACTAGCTGTTGGACAGTCTTACATCGACTAACATGAATAACCTCGTGAGAAATCAAGGTAATCAGAGGAAATGAACACCGTAGAGAATATGTTCGACCATCGAGAAATCCAGTTTGTGAACTAGAAAATCTTGAAAAATCATCAGCCATAGTAGTCATTCCACAAAATTATTTCTTACCGTATTGAAATCATCCAGGGAAATTTCAGAAATATCATAAAGAACATCTCATATCACCAGAAGCACTTCATATCAAATGGAATCCAAATTGCCTTAATAGGAATGATGGACTAAAACAGAATTTGACCTGGTTACAGCACCTCCCACCCCTCCCCCATGAATTAACAAAATCAGCTTGACAAGTTAAAAATCACCTAATGCTGAGGAATGATGATTAAGTTCTTATATATAAGCTGAGATTTTGTGAATTCTGGTTTAATATTACTATTATTATAAAGCCCGTAGCAGCACTGAATGGCGAAACTTCTGTGGAGACCACAATATCGTTTTGCTCTTTTTCATTCATTGGGAGATACAAAAAGAACTTTCATAATAATGAATATCATATACCCAATGTCAAAATATTTTTCGAACTGTTAAGAGTGAACTTGGTTTAGACACGCATAAGTCAGGGTTAAAGGGTTATCTAAAACATTGGACATCAGATTATATACAATCTGGAATTCTATCATACAAATTTCGCAGCTACTCCTCCACTCTGAAATAATGTATCTGTGTTTTCGTCAGTTGCATAACCCCTACGTTGGGTTATTGATTGACAGCAGACAGCAGTGGCATTTTTATTCACTTCTAGTGAATATCCACATTCCTTGACTTAGTCATGACAGTCTTGACTCACCACTGAGAGATATCTGCATTGAATATTATTATTATTGTTCTCTCTAATTCCTAGAGGAACATAGGGCCTCAGCCGTGCGTCTCCATTGCGTTCGGTTCTCTGCCAACGTTTTCACCTGACTCCATGTCTGCCCACACGTTTTCATCTCCTCTTCACATGACCTCCTCCTTGTCAATCTCGCACTGATAACCATCTCACCACTTCCCTTTCCGATTACACTCGAGCAATGGCTTGTCTAGTGATGTCACTTGACGGTTTGTTTTCTCAGAGTATGGCCAATCCATCTCCATTTCTTCCTGCCTATTTCTTTCACAATCGGTTCCTGCTGTGTTGGTTCGCTCATTGCCAGAGATCTCTGTTGCTGATCTTTTCTGGTCGGCCATCTGATCTTGAGTAGTATTGAGCGAAGACAACTGTTGATGAAGGTCTGTAGTTTGTTTGAGGTGCTCTTTATGACGCACTGGCCAAGTCTCTGATTTTTATATTAATTAGCACTGACTTCACATTGGAGTTGAAAATCCTTATCTTAGTTTTGATGCTGAGTGCTGTTGACCTCCACACAGACTTGAGAGTAATGAAAGCTTGTCTTGCTTTTCCGATTCTTGCTTTGATATCCTCGTCAGTTCCGTCTGCCTGTAGTTGAATCTATGCTTCCCAGGTAGTTAGAGGAGGTAGTTTCTTTCAGGTTCCTCCCATTTATGCTGATCGTTGTCTGTTGTTTTTGTTCTTGTCCAGGATTCTTCATTACCTCTGTTTTCTCTATGTTCACCTGAAGTCCTTTCTATCTTTGATGCTTCTTCTGTCGCCAACTTGTTGCTTTTCGCTTGCATATCTTCCAGTTTGTGGGAAATCAGACATATATCATCAGCGAAGTCCAGATCCTCCAGGTTTTTTGTGTGAGTCAATTTTATGCCTGTTTCCTCATTGCCCGCTGCCTGTCGCATTATCCAATCTACTGCAATCAGAAAATCATTGGCGATAGTGGGCAGCCAGCTTGTCTTACTCCTGTCCTCACTTCGAAGGATTCCGTAAGTTTCCCGTTGTGGATAACTTGGCATGCAGCATTGTAGTACAGCTGTTGGATGAATATGCTGACTATTTTTTTTGAGAGCCTGTAAATCCTGAAATAGTAAAGTTGAACTATAACTATCCGTGGGCAGAGGACTCAAGAGTAACCCTGAGTCGACCAATCAGGAAGTCCAGTGGTTTTTGCATTAAAAATAACGTTTATTTACAACACGGTATGTTTTCCCCTGACGCAACTGTAAAAATTTCCTCCCAATTAAGATGAGCAGTATCATCTTCTGGGTTAAACCAGTTACTGTATATGTATTTATCGAGGTGACTGAAGGTAGGAGTACATTTTGTGACCTATTTATCTCTACTATCCTGTGGTTTTCAGTCTTATTCGCCAAAAGTGGTCGATTGAATTAGTATAGATTGCAGTAGTAAGAGGATCGACAACTAATCTTAACCCTAACTTTGATCCTGACCCTAATCGTAACCATAAGCCTCAAACCATACTTGAAAACGAGATCAGGGTGAAATTTGCATCTCACTTCGTGAACAGCGTTCATAGTGGCCTTATAATATAATAAGAATTGTGGTAGACCTCGTTACCCTGCTAAGGGAATGCGTTCAAAGGTGGTTATTAATGAATTTTCACTCTTAGATCGTAATCCTTTAACTTAGCCCCTGAAATGATTCGTGACAATCCTTCTTTGGTCATTTATTTATTGTTTTATTGTTATAACTTTGAAGGAAGTAGACATTAATGGAGCTTATATCACATCATAAGTGTTATGACCGTTAATACACTTGCTAGTTTGAGCTAACGAAATTCCTACCTAGTAGATTTGTGTGAGCCTATTGTTCTAATCACTGTTAGCAACAATAGCAGTGACACGATACGATCTAGTGCCACCGAACCCGCGATGCAGGAAGACAGACTTTTGACGTAGACAGCGTTTTAATGTCTCGAATCAATAGCCAATAAGCTATAAATACCCTTGAAAGATACTAATTATATTGATAGATTAAAACAGTTAACAACCAATAGGCTTTCAAGGTCATGAGTAGGGAAGGGAGGGAAATGTAAACAGCACTGTACTGTAAAGATAAATACAGTATTTTAGAAACATTAGGTCTGTAACGACAGAAGACAAGGGTTAGGCAACAGATCGTTTATTGAGAAAATCAGGAGATATTTATAGAGTTTTAGGCAACTCTAAACAATAGGAACCTTAAACCGAAATGGCCTACGAACGCACAGGCAACCTTGCCAAGGACAACTTCGACCAATCGGAAGGCTAAAAACCGGCGCATAATTGTAAAAAATCGTTTATATAAAAGTAAAGCAATGTTAAAAAATAGTTACAAAGGATAATTTTCTTGTATACGTTGCAAAGAAAGCTCCCAGTTTCTCATAGGAGTCTCTGTACTCAAGTTAAACCAACTTCTGTACATAAACTCATCCAGATAACTGTATATCATTGGATTTCTTGATCCGTTCACAAATCTAATCCTTTTTTTCAGGTGACTCCAGAAACTTTCGATGCAATTAGTATGAATTCCATCCAAAGGATTGTGAAAGCCGTCTGTGTGATTGACTACATGATGAATATACCCGAGTTTCGACAATTGACCACAACTACTCCATTCGTCTGTGTGAATAATGGTCCCAGGAAGCACTAAGCGCTGGATAATAGGCGAAAATACGCCAGCACTGTGATTAGGAATCGCCTCTTTATATCTTTTTCTGAGGGTGGTGTTACAGATAATTCATATCCATCGCTGGTTTGCTCGTGGTCTCCCGCGAATATATTTCCTTTTTATTAATACGGTCTCATCAATGTGGACGATTACACCAACTCCTCCAAGAACTTGAGTTAGTGTGTTCATTTTCCAGGACGATATGTCTCTGCAGTACTGGTACCATTGCACTGCAGATACTTCCGAATTTTCTGTCTCATAAGCTGTTGCTGTAACTGGTCTGTTGAGTATCCAGAAATTGCAGATCATTAAAATTTTTCCATTATGGATAAGGAATCTGTAGACTAAAAAAGAACGACATACCCTCTCGAACTGATTTTCTTTTTCGGCAATCACTACTCCTGTACGCAAACCCATCAATGGACTTTGTGTATTTCCATATATGCATAAGACCTCCGCACTGATAAATTTTAGACCTTGCAATCAGTCCCTTAGCCAAAAATTAATAAAAAAACAAGCTCCAGAGCGAATTTACAACGCAAAAGGTGTAGAGCATCCATAATTACTTCTAGAAACAACACAGTCAGCTGATTGCTTTCTCAAGGTCGTTTGTGCGTTCGTAGGTCGTTTCGGTTTGGGTTCCTATTGTTTAGAGTTGCCGATTTTTATGTGTATTATTATTAGCATTATCGTTAGCAGAGAAGCAACGTCTTCTGATTGGTTGTTTTCTTGCTGAAGGTTATTCTGTCCTCTATTTGTTGCCGTTTCTTAGACAGTTCACTGATATATCTGCGAATCGTATCCACCCACGCAAAGTCTTCTGTGATTGGTAGTTGAGTTCCTCAAGGTTAGGCTTTGTTCTTGTTTTGTCTGCTGACCCCGATTCGGGACGTAAACATTGACGTGAACTGTTGTTAACAATTTTGGCTAGCAGACAGCTCTCACCACAGGTCTACATAACATTATTTTATCATTAAGATTATTTTTCGATGTCATAAAACAAGAGGGGTGGGGGGATGCAGTTGAGTTATCAAAAATCCACAAATTTTAGTAATAATTATATGAAATGACTTTTTTCTAACTCTTCTTCTTTTTCTTCTTTTCCTCCTTCACAGTTATCCCTCCCGAATAGAATTCATCAAAAAGAATACTTTGCAAGATCTACAGGATCTACTACCACCGGCACCACCTCCAAATCACGTAAAGTAAACAATCAGAAACGCCTCGAGGATATACTTGAACATGGTGTTGAAAGTCAAAAACCCGTTTATAAACCAAGCGATGAAAAGAAATCCGACCAACGCTTAATCGACGACGAAGTTAGGAAAGCGATTAAATCCCATAGCGATTCACAGATGTTAATTCGTTACTTGAGATCATTATTCTCTATTAGTAAACACGATCGACCGCATGAGATGTCCTTCTAGAGACAGAGAAAGATGTAAACATACTACTTATACTCAATTACACACATACACACACACACAAACCAAACTCTTCTTCCTGATTCAAATCAAATTCTTCTTTCTACACTTCTTACTGCTCTAAACTCTCTGTGGAACACACTGTGAAGCATTTCAACTAAATTCCCTCTCTCTCTCTATTTGTTGTTTGTTCATGTGACTCTTCATTTTCTCAAATACTCTTTCTTTCTATAGTGAAAGCACTGTCGCTTACTCCTGCCCTATCGTTGTATTATCTACCTCCGTTCTCTTCAATTTTCACTTTACTCCTGTTTGTAAATCTTTCATTTGCTTGTCTTTATTGTCGTTCTTCATCTTCTTTTTCTAACTAACATGTTGTGTTGCCTCCACTCGCCGTCCACCTTCCCTGCACCCTGTGTGTTCCTCGGTCTCTGTCTCTGGCTCTCTCTACCCCCCCCCGTGTGTCTTGAGTTTTCTTCTTCTCTTCTGTTTTACCAGATGAAAAGATGAAAAAATTAAAAATAAATAAGAAAAATTTATATCCCCTGGATTGAAGTTTTCTGCGACCTTCTTTTTATGTTTGATCAAGGAATTGCTATCAGTTTTGCGGGGAATCATTGAAGAGTATCACTGGACAGCTGTTTCGTCTTGGTTTGAGAATTTTCGACGGTACACATCCCCACCCGAAGGGATCGAACCCATCAGCCACTGTGAGACCCGATTCCTCGATGACCAACCCCTTGAATTCTTACATCTACCAATTCGTGATTTCAGGGTAACTAGCAGCGGCCAATGTTATCGGTGTTAGAGCATTTGTCCCAACTCCCGACTCTCAAATGAGGAGAGGCTAAGTCGACTGGGTTTATTTCCACTGTCATACAGACGACTTAGGGGTGACCTAATACTAGCATACCGTATCCTAAGAAATGATTTTGGAGCTAATTTATCTAATTTATTTCTTCCTTCTAGCACCAACCAATTGCGAGGACATCACCTCAAGGTTCAAAAACCACGGTCGAATCGTCTCCGTCTGGAGATCCGTTTCTCGCATCGAATTGTGAACCAATGGAACTCCCTACCGGAACACGTCGTATCAGCGCCATCCATTGATTCATTCAAGGCGAGATTGGACCTCCTGTGTGTAACAAATCGAAAGGATTAACACAGGCATATAGCCTACTATCCTAAATAAATTGTAAACTGTAAACTCCCGACCACTGGTGACGAGTTCTCACTAGAACTCACTCCAGGCAACTTTGTCCTACAGCAAGTCACTAGGGTGTGTTTGTAGGGATTCGATTTCTATTCAAGGTTGACTATGCACGATATAAGAATAAAACTCGTGCACTCTGGTAGAGTATAATTCCATCGTGGGTAAAATTTATTTTGATAAAGTCTCATAGGTGTTATACAGGAATATTAACTGATGACGTTTCGAGCAAAAAATCAAAATAAGGCAAAATCAAACTTAACAAAATCGGAAAGAGAAGCTCTAATTTAGTCTAAAACAGGATAAAAACATCGTCATTGCAAAAGCTGATAAAGGAAACTCTACAGTAGTTTTCGATAAAACTGACTATATCAAAAAAGTCACTGAACATATTCAGACGGGTCCATATGAAGAAATTAAGAAGCCTGTAGATACAATAATGAATAAGGTTAAAAAATCTACAGCGGAATTAATACGCAGAATGAAGCCGTCACTGGGTGAGTCTAAATGGTTTAATTTAATGCCTAAAACTAATAATGCTAGTAGAATGTATGGTACTATTGAAATACATAAGCCAGGTTACCCCATTCGGCCAATAGTAGACTTTACGAATACCCCTACTTATGAATTATCAAAACAACTTAGCTCTAATATTATGCCCCATTAGGAATCGTTAAAACTCTGGATTAACTAATTCATATGAGATGAAAAAGAAACTAAATGACATTCAACTAGAAAATGATGAAACAATGGTTAGTTTTGATATAACTAGTCTTTATACTAATATACCAATCAATATGGCAGCCTTAGAAGCAGTTAAAAAAGAACTAACTGCGGATACTGAACTCAATCATAGGACAAAGCTGCCCATTGAAGAAATTATTTTAGGAATTCAGTTGTGCCTCACATCTACTATCTTTAAATTCCAAGGCAAAATATATAGACAAACAGAAGGCGTAACAATGGGATGGATCACCAATATCCCCTATCGTAGCAGATTTCTTTATGGACAGCTGGGATAATATTGCTCTTAACACAACATTTAATCCTACTCCAAAAATATGGTGGAGATATGTGGATGACACTTTCATAGTGTTAAAAACAGAACATATCTCTAGCTTCTTGACACATATAAACTCACTAGTAGGGGGAATAAAATTCACATTTGAATCGGAAAATGAACAAGGAGAATTAGCTATGATGTTAGATTGTAAAATAAAACGAATAGAAGAAGGTAAACTGAACACTAGAGACGTTTATAAAAAACCAACGCATTCTGCTAATAGATATTTAGACTTTAATTCATCTCATTCGTTAATTGTTAAGGCAGGCGGCTTAGTTAAGTGTCTAACAAACCGAGCAGTAGCACTAAGTAGTAAAAGGAAAGACCTAAATGATGAAATAAAACAGATAGAAGAAGAAGCGTTGGTATCAAATAACTATCCTGTAAAATTCATTAGGAAGATCAGAAAAGGTCAAAAGCAAAATAAAAATAATTGTGAAACTAGTTTTGATAACATAAATAAGAGAGAACATAAGGCATCTACTGTTATAGCATATAAGGAGGGGACAAGAATTAGGGTGGCATTTAAACCTACAACTACACAGGTCAAACTAGTAGATCGGAAGGGGTAATCAGATTGTCAGAACATAAGAATTTAGCTAAGGTAAGAATGGTTGACCACGAGAAGATAAGTAATTTAGAAAAAACCTCAGCAACTGCATTGCATGTATTAACATACAACCACACAATAGGGTGGGAGAGGGTTCAAATTCTAAGAAGTAATCTAGGTGGGTGGAGATAGAGAGAGGTTGATTACTGAATCCTTGTTCATCGAATCTACACCCAACACATGCAATAGGAATGAATCATCACTCATACCGAAAATATGGAAAATACTACTACCAATCATCAAATCAAGCGATGGCAAATAATGGAATTATATAAATGAAGTTAGAAAGTTGTGTGAGTAGTGTCTTGATTTGATTATGAGAGGTAGCAATAAATTGTGTTTGAAATGTGGTCATCAGTAAATATTCCTGTATAACACGCTGTGAGACTTTATCAAAATAAATTTTACCCATAGTGGAATTAAGGAACTCTCAGTTAAATAGATATGAAATGGTTACAGGATTTTCATCATGAGCTGACATTAGTTAGAGAACCATTGGAAAAGCAGCCAGGGAGTACTGGATAGCTGTTTCGTCCTAGTTTGGGACTCTTCATCAGTACGCACCCACCGCTAGGGTTCGAACCCACGACATTCTGGTTACAAAGCTAGCGAGCTCGTAGACCATTAAGCCACTGGGACCCGATTCAATGGCCAATCCATGAATTCTAATTTCTGCCAATTCATGATAAAGCGCAACCATTAGCCAATGTCTTCTCCGAGTATTTGTCTTCACACCCGACCTGCTGCACCCTACTGGTCACGACTTCCCACTGGAACCCCAGGTAACTACCTACCTGAATAGGGCAAGTCACTAGTGAGCATCTCATTGATATTCAAGTGTTGGTTTGTAGGGATTTGGTTGATTGGTTACAGGATTTTCATCATGAGCTGACATTAGTTAGAGAACCATTGGAAAACCAGCTGGGAGTACTGGACAGCTGTTTCGTCCTAGTTTGGGACTCTTCATCAGTACGCACCCACCGGGTATATATATTTATTCTAAAATCACTGTCTGTTAGTGTTTGAAGAATAACGTATATCAAAATGCATATCAGTCGAGTGAAACTGTACAATATATTGAAAAATTTAACAATATACAGATATTAGAGAAATTTAAATATTATTTATTTTGAATATAGCGAAAATATTTATTCAGACATCTAGAAAAAACAAAAAATTTTCGATAATTTCCTCTTCTGGCTCTACAATAATATATGTGTGTTTATATACATAGAATATTCTAGAATAGTAGTCAATAACAATATTAGTGTTTTTTTAAAATAATATCGATTTCTTAAGTAAGATCGCAATGGAATTACAGTTCAGGAAAGATGCATAAATTATAACAAGCATAAAAATGTATGAGTGAATGGAATATCAAATAAAATTTAGGAAATTTCTACAAAAAATTGAGGATCATTAGAACCTTAATGGCCAGGGGGTAAGGACAGTGTCTGAACCAGCTTCTTTTGGATGCACAAGTTAGTTTTGTTAATGTGGATCTCAATGGCCTCAGCAGCGCCTTCGACAGCATCGATCGAGAGGTGCTTTGGCAACTACTTTGCTACTACCAAGGGGTGCCACCGACAATTATACATCTCATCCAACAGCTGTACGACAGTGCTGCATGCCAAGTAATCCACAATGGGGAACTTACGGAATCCTTCGAAGTGAGGACAGGAGTAAGACAAGCTGGCTGCCTTCTATCGCCAATGATTTTCCTGATTGCAGTAGACTGGATAATGCGACAAACAGTGCGGGCAATGAGGAAACAGGCATAAAATGGACTCACACAAAAAACTTGGAGGATCTGGACTTCGCCGATGATATATGTCTGATTTCCCACAAACTGGAAGATATGCAAGTGACGAAAAGCAACAAGTTGGCGATACAAGAAGCATCAAAGATAGGAGGCTTCAGGTGAACATAGAGAAAACAGAGTTAGTGATGAAAATTCCTGGGCAACACCACCAACAGCAACAACAGACAACAATCAGCATAAATGGAAGGAACCTGAAAGAAACAACCTCTTTTACCTACCTACCTGGGAAGCATCGTTTCAACTACGGGCGGAACTGACAAGGATATCAAAGCACAACGATCGGGAAAGCAAGACAAGCTTTCATTACTTTCAAGTCTGTATGGAGATCAACACTCAGCAGTCGGTATGAAAAATAAGATCCGGATTTTCAACCCCAATGTGAAGTCAGTCAGTGCTACTATACGGATCAGAGACTTGGCGCGTCATGAAGAGCCCCTCAAACAAACTACAGATCTTTATGTG